TATGGGTGGTGTCTATAAAGCCATAGTAAATGATTAAATCCATGATATTTAAACTGATGTTGGAACATTATTTCAGTTCTTTTTTCTCCAACCAAGGAAGTTTGATTTGTTTGAGGTGTAGTGTAAAGTCAAGCCACTGATCTAAACTTGAGTAGACTATGGGTTGTATTTTTGTCATGAGTGTTTGGCATGATAAAGAATCCACTTATGCTATAGTGATGTACAGATGAAGGATGTCAGATCAAATGTTCTACCTAGTGTGAGAAGGTAGTGTTATCTACTGTCTATATTTCTCATAGGGAACTGTGAAGAAAGGAACATGAGAAACTTTTTTCTGGTGATGTTGTGCATTTAACTGATGATAAATACTTTGACGGGAGTTGAGTATTTGTTTGATGTGTGTGTGTGTGTGTGCAAGTCTGCAATATGAAATCTTTGTTTCAAAGAGTGTGCGGGAGTTTATTTCTCTCCATGGTATTCAGGTGTTTGTGATGACTTAAATGAGTTGCATTGGTTGTGTTTTATAAGGAGTTGATATCCTAAATGATCTTGTGACATCATGCTTGTTGAAGATACTTGGGATTGTGAATTAGAATGAGAAGATTTTGATCTTGTCCACGGTAATATGCTTGATGAATGCATAACTACTATACTGAAGACTTCACTAGTATCAGCAATTGCTAGTGGAAGTAAGGGAATAGGAATGTTATCAGACATTGTGGTTTGAATCAGAGAGTTTTGGAGGTTTTCTTCTTCTGATCGGAATGTTAGTTTGGGTCTCAGTAAAGCCTTTAAGAAAACTGAGAATTTTTGGAGTTGATAAAGACACATCAAGGGTGCATGATATCTTGTGCCCCTAAGAATCATGACAACATGTGTGGATCTGTAAGGACATTGTTCAGACGGTCCTGGTTAAAGTGAAGAAGTCAGAAATGTATTCTCAAGGAGTGAGAGTATCTGACTCATAATCGACTCTACAGTGGGAGTTTGTGTTCAGCCTGAGGATTGTTTATCCATGACAGGGGGAGTCAAGTTTTTTCAATGGGGCAGATTTCTTGAAGCATGATATTGTTCAAGCTTGTGGAGTACATATGTCTCTCTGAAAGACTGTGTTTCCATGTCACACATGTAATGTTGTGATATTTTGATTTGTGTTGGCCAAAAGAAGTATCTGTAGAATCAAGTGGAAAATGTTGGGATTGTGCTTCATAATATTTGGATATTTATGAGAAGCATTCTTAGTTTTTTGGCTGAAGTAGTTTTAGTCGGAGTTGAGAATACAAGAACAAGCAGACAATGTGTGACTAGATGTCAGAACTTTGTTTAGGACATGTTTTCTCTTTGAACCAAACAAGGGGGTGTTATGGACGATGTGATAGAGCACATGTCAGAAAAGAGTGCAGAGTGTTTATTTGACTATGCATGTACACGTTTTGGGATTATCCTCTCAGAAGAAACAACCCAAAGACAATAAAGGTAGTCAAGACTGAAATGGCCGGTGCATATTTATTTTGGGTGGAGTTATATTGCTCAAATAATGTTTCTGTTTGACCATGAATTTGTCACAATCAAAGATAATTCCTAAATAACTGCTCAGCTATTTATAAAGGTCTTTCGTCCCTCTTTCACCGTGTGAGTGTTTGATGCTCTATATTTCTTATGACTTTTGTTCGAGTATAGGTGAGTACCTATTGGATATGGTTTTGTGAGGGGTTTCTCTGTCAAGTTTTGGCTAAAAAGGGAGAGAAATGGTTTGTTCAAATTGTTAATATGGAGTCTGTTTTTCTAGGTATGTCACAAAGATGTTGGATAGGATGTTCGATCTTATGTTGGTTTGAGTTTTTTTTGTGACTTGTGATTTGAGTTATGAACGCAATTGTGACTTGTGTTCTGAGTAACCAGGGGTGGTGGCTGATTTGTTCTTAAGTTTCCTCCTATGTCATGGGTTGACTAGTAGCTGCCAATCATGGGTTCTATTATGCAGCTTAATGGTTCTCTTATGCCCCTAAAAGAAAGAGTCATCATGCAGTGGTAACTGATGGTTTCTGTATTAATGGGGATTGTAAGATATCTCCTTCCTCATGTGCACCAAATGACTTCAGGACTTTCTATTCCTTTATCTTGGGGTTGTTGTTCTTTGGTGTTGAGTCTTTGTTGAGCAGGTGTGGAGAAGATGTCAAATAAGATGTTCTAACATCATAATGATGGTGAAGAGATGTCTCTCCATGTTGATATGTTCAGTAGCTTCTTAAAACTGAAGACTAGAGCTAGTGGTTGTAATTCTTTTTCATTACTATAATCTGAGTTGTAATTGTTTATTTGTTTTACTCAAAATTTGCCAAAAGGGGAAATTTTTAGTTCTCTATTTTATGGTTGGCATTAATTTTAGTAAAACAAATATAGCAGCAGTATGTTTAATAGGACGTTCTAACATGTTGAGCAAGAAGCCTTATTTTATGAAGAAACCTGTTGAGTTGAGATGTTTCATCATCTGGAGATGATGTCGGATAAGATGTCCAATACTGAGTTATTCGACATCATGACTGGGTTAGGTTGGGCTGTTGGATCAATTTTAGATTTAACAGATGAAGAATATTCTTGAATATTATGATATCCTATGTGGCATTGATTTTAAGATCTAGAAGATTCAAGCTGAAATCAAGAAGAATATTGACTTTTTTAATTATGGAGATAAATTAGGAAAGTCATGATTGAAGACCTATCTTTATGCAGAAGTTTTTGCAGATTTGTAGCAGTTGTTATACTGTGATTTGAAGCCCAAAATCTAGTTGGAAAGGGGTTATAAGTAGAAGGTTATTAACCTAGAAAAGGTATCATCCGAAAATACAAAGTTTTGATTATTAGGGCTCAGTCTGTAAGTCACTCTCTAGGAGAGTTGGTATGTGTGAGCCTCTCGAATATCATGTTGGTGTGAGAGTAGGACTGATGTTATTGAGTTGTACTTATTGTTAATCATTCATAATCTTGTGAGCAAGAATGGTTGTGTCATTGGAAAATGTCGTTCAAGTTATTGTTGTCTATTAAGTTGATATCACTGCGGTGATTTAGGAAGTGAGACGTCGAGTGTTCCTAGATAGAAGTGGCACTGGATAAGGATTAAGTGAGAAGTTATAAACTGTGGTATTTAGCTTGGAATTAGTACTACTGATAGTGGATTTCCTTCCTGTCTTGGTAGCCTCTAGAGTAGGTGTGTGTCCACCGAACTAGGTTATCAATTATGTGTATTCTTTACTTTTCTGCAATGCATTTATCGTTCATTATGTGCAAGTTTAGTAAAATGTGTCTCGACATCTTTTAGAACATCTTTGATCTGAATACCAAAATTTCAAGAAGTAACAGAGAGAGAATGTAAAATTTGAACAATCCTAATTCCTTCAAATTGGGTTTGAGAACCATTGGCAGAAGTTATAGTATGTAAAAAACCAGAGGTAGAGAGAGAAGAGAAAAGATTTTTATTACCGGTAACATGATCAAACGCACCAGAATCAAGGATCCAAAGTCCAAGAGAAGATGATTGAGAGAGGCAAGCAAATGAATTACCATTGTGGGCAATCAAAGCAGTAGAATTTGAGTTATGATAATACTAATACCACCTGAGAAAATTATTGTAGTTTGACATAAAGTTTCGAGGAGTAGCCATGAGAATCTGAAGAGAGAAAATATCACACGAACTGGATGAACAAGACTATGTTTGAACTGGATCACAATTTTCTGTGAGTGGGAAATAAAATCTGAGACCAGATCTGGAACAGTTGCACGATGGTCATTAAGTCGGTGGAAAAACGTCAGAATCGAAGGAGGCGCTTTTGTCGGTAGGATTAGTTTGCCTGAAGGTCTCCGAAAAACAGTAGCAACGGTGGCAGACAATGGCGACAGCACGGTGGTGACCGAAAAACTTTGAAAACTGATGCCAAAATAAGTCACAGCAATGTATGAAAGGCAAATCAGAATTATGACAGTTTGCCAAAAAATTCTCACCGGAAGACAATGGATCAATCGGATAAAGAACGGCGAAGGATTGTCTCTCAATAGACTCTGGATATCATGTTGAAATACGAAAGACTATTATATACGAGAGACATTTGAATAAACCGCGTGTCCGAATAACACAATGGAAGATACATTATATAAGATAAAAATACAAATCTTAGTGTTAATTACATAAATATCATATCCTATTCTAGAATACACTAAAGAATATTTTAGAGAATCTTCTCTTTATATACATATACATATATAATTATCAATAGTTTTCAATGATAGAGATGAACAAAGATTGGAGATCAAGAGCACCAAATATAAAAGTATTATAGAATATCTGCTTTATTTAACTGGAAGTCATGCTAAAATTTTGTTTAGTGCATGATGTGTGCTAGATTTTAGGCCTCTCCACGGAATTCCACTTTAAGACTGTTAAACTCATTTTAAGGCTCCTTAACAGAACCTCAACCCATGTTCTTTGGTTTTCCAAAGAAAGTGAATGTAGCTTTGTAGACTTCTCTAATTCTGATTTCATAGGATACAAATCAGATAGGAAGAGTACGTGATACTTGCCACTTGTTTGAAAATTATATGGTTTCTTGACACGACAAGAAGCAACACAACATTGCTCTTTCTATTATCAAAGCCAAATATATAGTCGTTGGCAACTGATGCACACAAGTCCTTTGACTAAAGCAACAACTATCATATTATGAATTAAATCTTGGTTACAATTCAATTAAGTACCCATTAATCTCACTAAGAATCCGATTTTACATTCACACACTAAACATTTTATGATTATGCACTATTTTCTTAGAGATCGTGCTGAAAAAAATGGTATGAAAAAACACAATTTATGAGTATATAAGTTCAATTTAGTTGCTCTCTGTTTAGCAGGATGCCAAACTCATAAGCTATAAATCTTTTCAAGAATAAAACCGTGGATGATGATAAAAGGTCGAAATAACTTGAATAGTGACCAAAATAAAGCGATACTAGCAAGCCTGCAATACACGGCGGTATTCTCCCAACGCCCATATGGGGAATATGCATCTGTATGCAGCGTAAGTGATCATGCAATTCTTATTGAAGACTCCCATTATTTCCTGAAATGATAGAATAGTAACATGATTAAAAATACATGCATGCATAAAGAGGGAGTAAAAGAAGAGTTATATGGTCTTCAATAATACCTCTTGCGGAAAGTCACCATTCTCCAATTGGGAATTTATCAAGCATACAGCTGCACGGTGCAGTGGTGTTGGATCTCTCTTGGCCTGTTTCATTTTATCGAAATGGATATCATTTTTATTCTTCAACAGAATCAAGATTAAATGTACGGGTGTAAACAAATGCAATGTGTTGACTAAGTATTCAATCATTTGGGAAAACGACTAATCGTGTGACTGGTATAGAAAAAAAACCCAGAATGTAGTGGCAAACAGCAAAGCAATCATTGTCATTCATGGTGGCAAGTTTGATAGAAAAGTATAAAACCTTGATTATCATATAGTTACTATCATTTATTAGTGTATTCATAAGTTTGCAATATTTTAACAGTGCCTTTTCCTATTGGTCGGAGTCAATTACATGAATTGACCAACACTTGTATCCTGTTTGAAAGTTTATAGATTAGACGGCTTTTTGGCCTTTTTGGTCTCTCTATACCCTTAAATATTGGGAATTTCTTTTTCCACCCACTGGTCTTCTTCTAGGCCCCTGGTGAAAAACTCAAAATATCCCCAAAATTCGCAAGTGCACTTGCGAACGCACCATCAACGTGAATTATTTGATTTACTTCATAAGTGCACTTGCGAATTCACCTGTTTGGGGATTTCGCAAGTGCACTTGCAAATTTTTGTCCGGACATAATCAATTAAAAATATACAACACAATTCGTAACATTCATTTAACAAAATTCAAAGAAATTACATAAATAGTTATGCAGAAAATTAAAGTTAAATATTGTTATAAACGGGAAGTCGTGGACGGCGGAACAAAGCGTCGCATCGATCTCAATCGGACGCTTTGTAGAGTATTGTTGAAAGGTATCCCACATAACTTCTAAATCGTCGTCGTTTTTCAGCTGAAACGGGGTGAACTTTACATTTCCTTCAGTGTCAAGTGAAGGTGAGCGATACTCAAGCTTGACCACCTTTCGATTTTCTGGATACTGCAAGAGAGAATGCAGTATCGTGATGAGCTCGGTGAACGGCGTATCATGCGAGAACCTGAATTGAAGTGGTGACTTTGCACCACTGAAGTAGACAAAAGCAAGGTGTGGATATGTTTGTGTCATTTCTGATTTTGGTTTGTGATGGACAATGAAATGGTTTGTAGTCTCAATTATATAGGCAAATTGGAGTAATATGGACCAAAGAAATCTTATCAGGACAAAATTCGCAAGTGCACTTGCGAATTACTAAAATAAGGGAAATTCGCATGGGCACTTGCGAATTCACCACGCTTTTTATAAAAATATGAGGTGAACTCGCAGATGCACTTGCGAATTTTGCCTTGTGTTGTTTTTTATTTTAAATTCGCAAGTGTACTAGCGATTATGCAGAAACAGAAACAGTTTCATTATTTACACCATTAATTGTAGATTTGGAGATTTTGGGACATGGAAAATACAAATAATTGTAAAACTAAATATAGATAATATATTATATATGTATTAAAACGTATAGATTTTACAATATGTGCAACAATACATACAAAAAATGATTCGATTACATTCTAAAATACACCGAAAAAGTTGTCGCCGCTTAAATCTAATACCGGGTTTTTCTTCGATTTCTCCCTATTTAATTCCCTCTCAAGCTCCATCAAATTGGTAAACTCCATCATTCTATCCAAAAAATGATTCGGTCAAGTTTTCGCCTCTTTAGCATGATGTGTCGTCCATTCCATGGATTTGGCCGGAATAGGACAACCCAGTTTCAAATAAACCTGAACAAAATGACATGACCTAAGATACCTAATACACATGATGCGTCCGGATGAATCTTTAGGAGGGGGAGCCCAAAGAGGAAAAAAGGTTTCCAAAAAACCATACCTCGTCAAGTCGATACACACCACATCATATGCACTTGCTATAAGATGGCCCATTTCAAGGAAGCTCCTCCACTTTTCAACCGGTGCGTTAGTGGTGACACTAGGAGCAAGAGCATGATGAACTTTATTAAATGCTTTTGTAGTCACATATAAGCGAGTGTAAAGTTCCTTGTGCGCCGTCAACTCAGCAATAAGTGTTGTGCGCACAAGAGTGTGTTTCTCCTCTCCTTGACCAAGCAACCCGGATACGGCCCGAAACCCGTAATTACCATAACTCCTCACATCCACGATTTTTCAATGTGTTTGTGCATAAAAAGTAGCATCTCATCAATGTAGATTATCGGTGGTGATGGTGGTGGCGGTGTTGGTGGTGGTGGTGGCGGCGGTGGTGTCCGAGGTGGTTTGAGAATCCAAGCTCCCTTTTTAACACTTGTTTTCGATTTTGGGGTAGCAGAATCCGGAAATATTTCATCAACAACTTCGTGGTAAGAAGGAGTACGCTTTGTTGTACTGTCAGCTTGTGAAATTTTCACTTTTTTAGACGCACCTTTAGTTTTCACCGATTGCAATGGGGGTTTCAAATCAGTTGTTTTCGGAAACACGACTTTTCTCAATTGTTCTTTAATGTGCAACTTTGTAGCATTGCCCGCTTTAGAAAAGCGATCCATTATGACTTCCAACTCGATTGTGATGGTTATGTTGGATTTACCTTCTTTTGCTAGCTCGTAGTCATCGAACCGAAGTCTTTTCCAATGAGTGCATATTTCATCCATTCGTATGGGTGAATTGAGCTTAATTTTTTTAATAAATAATACAAGCACATGGAAGCCCGTAAGTTGTCCTTATTGTACACCCACATTTCAAACTATCGAGCCCCGTGGTTTCCGCTCGTTTCGCTTCATAAAAAATGAAATTCAATCCCGCCCAGGATATGTTGTGAATCAACTGCGAATAAAGAGTGTTGTCTTTGAACCAGTGTTCCAATACAGTTTTGCTCCTACCAAATGTTGTTTGAATTTCATTATGTTGGTTTTAGAGCATTTGGTTCACAACGTCTTATTCTCTATAAAGATCTCCCTTACTATCACCCAACCACTTCTTCAATGTTGCATGTGCAGATTTCACTCTATTGGTTGTGTTTTCCAAATGTCTAACATGATCCGTCCAAGCACATACAACTTTCTCTTTCACCTGATCAAGGATAGTGGACTCAACGTACTTCAAAAAATTGAGATATTCTACACATAAGTTTCTAAAATGTACTACATTCTCAGTATACAACTCTTATGTCGCAGAGTTAAGAATATCAGTCCATGCACCCATTATCTTCTCAACCACAACACCGGATTTGACCATGTTTCCGTTTTCACCCTTTTTCTCTTTGGTGCCAACCGCGGGTTTTAGCTTTGCTCTCACATTTTTTGTTATATGATACCGACATAGTAATGCCGTTGACGAAGGAAACACAATGCCAACCGCATTCATAAGGGTGTTATCTCGGTCGGTAACAATAACCATAGGCATATTTTTTTGATCTTTCAACAAGGTCTTGCAAATACCCAACGCCCAAGTGACTTTGTCTTCCTTCTCACTTTCTAGAAAAACACCAACAATTTCTAGAAGCAAAAGCCTATACTTGTTGGTCTTGTACGTCGAATCAATCATAAGAACGGTTGAAAATGTGTTGAACAAGTTGATACTTTCCGGATGCGTCCAAAAAATATCATGAATACTTACGTTGTCATCACAAACTTTGTGCCTGGAAAAGTAGTGGTTATCGTCCAAACATTTCAATAAATGTTGCATTTCAGACCTCATACCTCTTTGAGCAATGTGTTGTTTATATCGATAATTGTAAACCGACTTGATATTTGAGACACATTCCACTCTAGTCCGTTTCAAACCGCCAAGTATGTTCCTCGGCGCAACTTTGATCAACAACAATTCGGAAATAAATCCCTTCTCTACCGGCTTAAGCCGACATACAATTGGATTTTCGTGTAACTTGGTGTTCAACGCATGATTATGCATTCCAAACATGACATTAAACCGCCATAAATCATCCATCCTATAATAACCGCACAATTTGAACACACCCACATTTCCTCTATCCCATGTCATCGTGTTTTATCTTGCGAATTTTTAGAACATATTTTTCACTTCTCTCGCATGTCATCACAACAAATGGTTGTCGATTACTAGTCCCATTGTCGAACCTCTCAATCGCAACACCAAAACCAAATTTGCTAGCTTCCATTCGAACCCAATCAAGCAATTGTTGACGAGTGGTGAAAGTTGTCATTTGGAAATTGTTGTTCATGATCTATCACAACATCAATCGTTTTATCAACGTCTTTCACCACATTCGGCTTATCGTCTACATTGACCTTGTTCAGAACCGAAACCTTTACAATAGCCTTGACGATGTTGTCGGGGTACACCATACATAAAACGTTCAAAAAAACATGAATTATGTTAAAACAGAATTATGTTTCAGTAACAGACTTTATTTCGTAAGTGCACTTGCGAATTTTTGCTGGTGGACTTCCCAAGTGCATTTGCGAAGTGACACTGTTTTCTTCTTCAACGGAACAACTACAATGCAACAAATGTATGATGAAGGGATGAAAGTTTACCTCAAATTGCAGCTTTCAATGCTCACTTTACTAATTTAAAACACTTGAAACTTGATTTGTAGACGAAAAAATCATTGAGATTGAGTGAAGTTTAGGGGGTTTTGGTGTTAGAGGAAAAGAAAATGAATGAAATAGTATGAATAGGTGACCATGCAACATTCTAATATGGAAAGGGAAGTTTCACAAGTGCACTTGTGAATTCACCTTTCAGCATGTTTCGCAAGTGCACTTGCGAAACCCCCTAAATTTTGTAAAATCCAACGTTTAAATAATAAAACGTGCAAAATAGGGTGGCTTCGCAAGTGCACTTGTGAAACATGCTGAAAGGTGAATTCGCAAGTGCACTCGCGAAGGATATTTTTGGGTTTTCAGTGGTGAAAATCACCACTACTAGGTGTAAAGAGAAATTCCCTAAATATTTTACTATGTATTTGGTCAACCCTCCGCACAAGTGTTTCATTGATTTTTCTCAAAGCATGCCCAAATCACCTAAGAGTAGCCTCTACCATCTTTTACAATAGGAGCCAGTGTTATCGAATATGGCCAAGGCGACGCCATGAGGGATATCACTGGCAGTTCTTGGGCTTGTTGCAAAGGAAGGCCATCGGCCATCGACAACATTGATAGGAGCTACCCTCATAATCCATAATGTCTTGCATAATATTTTTCTCTACGCCCGGCTTACTTGTTAGCTTTTTGTTGCTCAGTACTCATACTCATACAACATTAGTAGCCTTGTGGCTGAGAAGAAGTTTGAGTTGTACTTTTCTACTGCTAAATACCCTCAAACATGCCTCCATATTGTTAACCCTACTTGTGTCTTCTTTATTGACATCTCCTATCTCCCCAACATTTCCATCCCATACCACCAATCCAAACATACCCTAATCTATGTTCAATCTACCAAAGTTTCATGGGTGACTAGAGAGTTTCATCCATCTATAGTTTCATCCAACAAATTATTGACACAATCACACCTCATAAAAGATTTGAAATCTGTAAAACTAAATAGCAATCCTAAAACAAATAAAAATTCTGGAAATATTAGTACAATTAAATAATCATATCACTAATACCAATTTATTTAGCCAGAGACAACGGCACGTCTACTTCATAAAATTGCAGAATGGTCCTTTGATTTAACCAGACTGTCAATATGACTAACTATCCTAAAACAAATAAAAAATGCTTGTGCAACAATAAACTAAATCAATATAGGGGCAGCACTACAAAAGTTGCAAAGTTAGCTTTATACCTGTTCAGCCTCAATGAGAGCCAGCATAGCCCACCCAGTGTTTACTACATGGGACCTGTTGCTTTCCAAATTTGAATACACCTGAACAGAGACATTGCTAAAGAATTGACTCGAGATAGCATTTACATAGTCAAAAGTAATCAAATATTCTCACTCAAGTGTAGTTTCAAAGATTTGGTGCAAAAGCAGTGTTGTCAATGGCGGATGACGGTCCATGGCAGAGAGCCCAAATTCCGCCATATCGGCCGCTTTGCGGCGCTGCTATTGCAGATTATGGCGGAAAAACGCGCAATAGCGGCCGATATTTACCATTGCGGCGAGCCCAAAAACCACCATGTATATCCGCCATAGCGGCCATGGCGGGGCAATTTGATAACACTGTGCAAAAGTACATTTCCTAGAACCAACTTGCTAAATACTCTTGGGTGTAGAGTGGTTGTTTAAATCAAACTGATATTCTATGAAAACAGTATAATTAATTAATCATTAAAAGGATAACAAAATACTAAATGGAATAAAATTCTAGACAAATAATTTGATGCATAATCTTAAAATATTTACCTTTCTTAAACCAAGTGTCTCATCAAAGGTAAAATTCGTAAATGAAAGATATCAATGTCCTAAACCACATAACTATCAACGTGGGAGAAACTCTTTTCCAGAATGGAAAAGAATGTTATCTAGACAAGCCAGATCTAGCTGGAAAAATATCCCCCGCATTTAATGTAGCATATGACACAGGACTGTACGTTCATTATACTAGATAGCAATGAAATGGAGCTGTGGAAGAGCCAACATACTCATCATCCATAAAGTAGGATATATGATGGTGGCAACCATGTGAGACAAAGGGAGTAGTAGAGTACAAAGAGAGATCAATTGTTGATTATTTTAAGAAAAGAGGAACCAAAAGCTGACAAAAATTTAGGAACCAAAAGCAAATATTTCCTAGTTTTGAGACTAAAAATATATTTAACCCAACTATGATATTCAACTGCATAGGCATGAATGTCACTACTTGACATCTGTCTTCATGCCAAACATTCATTTGATGCAAAACTAGGAAGACAGTGGAGATACACTGGTGTAGGGATTTAAAATTAGGCCATTACTCAAGAAGAATCTTGGCTTTCTAATTCTCCACTTATAGATGGCTACAAAAGGGAAAGACAAATTCAAATAATGGACGCTATGGGATACACACATATATGCTAAAATCTCTACCGCAATTTGTATCCAATATGCTGGGATGTGTCAAAGAAGTATCCAAATTTTTCTTATTTAAAAATAAAATAATTCCGAAACGACGCATTACGGCGTCGACACGCTGCCGATACTTATCCGAGACCCCATGGATAAGGCTAGTTTATCTCATGACTTTCATTTTTCTTTCCCGTGCATGAATCAAACTTTCACATGCTTAATTAATTTTCTCTCAATTTTAATTACTTTTTCTCTCTCCTATGTAATTTTTTATGCACCCATTTAATATTCTCTCACTTAACATTTTTCAAGATTGTTTCTTTTTCCCATAATTTCTTTATCAATTATCAGTTGTTGCAAATTCAATTTTACATGTTAGTGGGTTACTATTTAATATTATCAATTTTGTGACCCATCTGCTAAGAGTGCAAATAAAATTGTTAAGAGTCGCACATTGGACAATAAGTGGCCGAAACATATATTTATAAGTGGGAACAATTCTCACCTTATAAGCCGGATTTATAGGGATGAGTTAGGCTCAACCCAAGTTCTAAATTGTTAGAATATTATAACATATTTATAATATTCTAAAAATAATATCCCACACTAGACCACTTTTGAACGAAAGGTTAGTAGACAATATAGAGAAACTCACTTAAACGTATTGTATCCTACATTTTTCAATGAGTGACATATTGCAATATCATATATGTATCGTATCCAACACCCATTCCATGCTTCATTAAGTCTTCCTACTCTTACTTGTGCTTACAATAGATTCTTGATTTAAATCCATTCTTAATTTTGCATACTATTTTACACCCATATGCTTCAAACCATTGCAACTATGTTTGCATGTACAAGAGGCCATGAGAACATACAATTTCCAAAGTATTAATTTTCTTTTTAAAAAAACTTTGGTTAAAATAGATCAACAAACAGGTGCTTATTTATAAATTCTGCGATATAAAAGGGTGATATTGACATTCGGAAAGGGAAATTTGACCTTGTTTTGACATGACAGATAACTCTCTGCCCAACCACCAGACGGGAGCTGCTTAGACAGCAGAAATTCACAAGCTTTACGGACGCTTAAGCAATTACTGAAATTCTTTCCAGCAGCAATCAGCCCTTTAATCCCAAACCAAGTACCATAAGTAAAGCAAACTCCCCAAGAACCATACCTGTTGAGCAGTTTGAGTAATTAGTGGTCAACTAAACCAAGTTCAATTCAGATCGAAATTGAAGCTGACAAAAGTATGCTTTACACATACTATCAATAGAAAATACTATTAAAAAAGTGGTTTCCCAAAAGGGGGAGCAAACCATGAACCATCTGAAGCTTGAATTTTTTCAATATAGGCAACAGCTTTTTCTATACAGCGTTGTATTTCTTCTCGACGATGCCCGGGATATAGTTTCCCAAATGTTGCTAAAGCTTGAATTGCGGCCGAGGTACATTCCACATAACTATAGAGCAAAGAATAAGGAAATACAAAACAAAACAAAAATTAAAAATTTGAAATGATGGAGTGGATGAACAGAAGAGGTTAAACAACTGATATTCAACAAGTACTTGATAGCTTACGGATAATCAATAACGATGTCACCAAAAGTTTCAGCAGGATTGATTAGCTGACAATAGGGAAGGCATTACCAACATCAATATTGTGTATTAATGAATTAAGTTTAATACAAAAACACCTTGCCAATTCTCAGGATCAATTAGAACCCTAATCTGAAATGTAACAGTTATCCCAATGAAACCACAAAAGATTCGTTCTTAAATAGTGATTCAACATGTAGCCACTTTTGGAGAATCAATCCAAAACTTGTGCTTGACAGACCGACAAATGAATGAATAAAAGTAGTTGTGGTTCTAATCAAAGTCAGTTCTTTTCCATTTTTAATGATAATTGATTTGTATATAAATGGATTATAGCTAAAGTGAAACCAAGGGAAGGTAGATTATACTTAAAACTTATCTATGAGGTAAGACATTTCACGACATATAAAGGGAGCTCAAGGAGCGTTACTTTTAAATTAAAAGATTGAAACATAAACAAAGTATATATTTGTTCTTTCTAAAACATGTGCCCTATGCCATCACATGCTTCACATTTCAAATAAGATAAACTAAAACAAATGAAAACAGGCCTATTAATGCGAGAAGGCTACCTCCAACCAGGTATAAGATCGTGTGAGCTCATATGTTGCAAGGCCGCCATTTTCATTCTGCAATGATTGGAAAAAACAAATACATTTTACACGTAAACTTAGTATTATGCAAATCAAATTGATAATCATCTAAAGTTGCAGTTTAAATCAATTAACTTTTTTTATAAGAATTAACACTATACTTATTTTATAGGAAAAACTGTTCCTGCGGTCCTTTAACTTATTTTATCGTACTGGATTAGTCTTTGATGTTTTTTTCTCAAGTAGGTTTTTTAACTCTCACAATGTGAAAGCCAGACTTTTTTTCAACTTTTTGTTTCTCAATTAAAAAAAGCTAATGTGGCTGTAATTAAGCATGTGTGTCTGTTACAATTGCTTATGAGGAGACATATTTGTTGAGTCATTATTTTTAATTAATTTTTCATTTAAAAAAAAGAAGAAGCAAAAAACATGGGATCTCCACTTTAACAGAAAATCAAGGTTCTACAAAAAGCCTGGAAATCCCATCCATCAGAATATTAAAGAAAGCATCTAATATTGAAGACCACGTGTATTGCAAGCAAAGGAAAAGCTAAATCATTTTGCTTGGTCTTTTCTTAACAAAGTCATACTAATATTGAAGACCACGTGTATTGCAAGCATGGAAAAGCTAAATGACAAAAACTAATTTTACGGTAAAGGAGCTTGAGAATGTGTCACTGAAAGAGAAGAGTGAGAGTCAACAGGGTAATAATTTGTTTGATATAAGTCCTCTGATGCTTTTGCCTGTTGTTAAACAGAGTAGTTATGTTTGTTATATATAAAAAAAGAGTAGTTTGGTTTGTTCTATAATGACATATATCTAGTTTAAAGGTTGATATATACCCGCAAACATTTTTCTGGACTTACAAATTGGTATTTCTAGGCTTCTTGAAGAACACTAATTCATAATAAGTACGGATGGAACCAATAGCATAAATAATCACCTTGATTTATTTTCTAGGTCAAGTATTCAGATAAATGATTCGAATAATGAGAAATAGCTACCTGTAATGAGAGAATGACATTTACAGCATCATATAATCTCTTTGCATCCAATGGTTCACCAACAACCTCAGGTGCAATTTTAGATAGCAATAGGACAGCCTGAAAAATGAAAATAGAAGTTAAAATAAAATAAAGAATCAAATAAGCAAGTCTAGTTTTTTCCGAAATAATTACTTTCAGTCCTTCTGCTGTGCAGTCAGATATTGGCCATCCATGGTCTGCAGTTGAAAAAGGCCAAGCACCTTTTGAAATGTGACGGTACCATTTATCAAGATCCCCCGGACAATCTTCTAAAACCTTTTAAGAGAAGAGGAGATTCTGGTCAACACAGCCAAACCGATGCAACCTTTAATTGATAAATAAAAACAATTACCTGTGAATTCTTAATGAATGCATGAGCCTTTTTGAGAGTTGGACCAAATTCGTCAATTAGGCTAGTTGAAATAATTGCTTGTGCAGCAAATGCAGTATCCCATAGTTGACTTCCATTGTAGCCCTGCAAACAAAAATGGTTATGCATAAATTTGTAATATTAATTTAATTTTTTAGACTTTAACTTCGAAAAGCTTGATTATGTTGTGACACTGGTTCCACATAATCATAACAAGACAACAGTTATGTTCAATTAAATTAAAAAATCCACTAGATAACTCTAGCAAAAGGGAAAATAAGTTGACTTGTATGTTGACCTGCATTCTCATGCCATCTTCAGCAACCCACAGATAATCATTGATCCTGGGAAGATGCAACTTGAAAGCCTCTGAATTTGGATCTTCCACCCAGCAGCAAAGCATATTTAACACCTAATAATAAACATTGGGAATAACAATAACTAATTAGTATTAGTATTTCATAGCATCCTAATGGTTTGACTGGAAATAAAAAATATATAAGTGGAAAATCATGCAAGGGAAGCTCACACATCCAAATAAAAAGTATAATTAATACAGGAAAAGTAAATAAAGGAGGTCAAGTAAATAAATGGTCAGCACTGGAAAACTAGCAACCATTGAACAGCATGTTAATTTTCTCATTCTCCTCCTCAAATAGTGGAAAGTAATAGACAATGAATAGTTGAAGGGACTTCCATAGAAGCTTGCCTCCTCCCAAGAATTACCTTATTTACAGGACCTATGCAAATATAACGAGTGTTCTCATCTTCATAATGTATATGCTCAATTACAGTCTTGATAGCCTTTTCTCTCAACTTTTTGCCAGGCCAATTCATGAAAATAGGCTCAACAAACTTGTGTAGAGTTGCCCAAAGAATATCTTGCACGAGCGGATGAGGATAATATAAGTCTTCCTGCACAAAAACAAAGGTAATTCTTTTGTAACTCTTACTTAACTTTAGCTCAACTAAATAGATACTTGAATAGTAAAGAAATTTAATGCCAAGTCCAATTTGTTAGAGGAAGGTGTGAAATTATTCATGAGTCTTCACTTAATAGCTCAAGCTTTTGGAAGAGTTGGTCCATGACATTGTATCAAAGCCCCAAATGAACAAGTGACCAACGCTTTAATCATGAATGCCCCAAATATTCTAAATAAATGTCATAATTAGGTGTATGTACTGTCCCACTTGGAAGCTTAAAGGGCTCTTCATAAGAGAGCAAATTAGAGATATAAAATCATTTGTAATTGCTTTCACTAAAAAGCTTAAGCTTTTGGGCAAGTTGGTCAATGACACTAGATATAAATGTTTAGAGTGATGGATGGTTACAGAGAGAGCAACTTTTGTACCAAGGATATGACAGCCATTGCAATAAAATAGAAATCTTAGTAATGAGTTGGTTGTGCAGTAGCAAAACAAAGTAATGAATGAGAATGTGGTAAAAGCAACAACATTCAGGTTCAGCCTATTCTAGTTGGCCCTCATAAATTATAAAATCCAGGTGAAACTATATATACTTAAGGTTTTCAGGACCAGTTAAGCAGTTTCACTAACCTTTGCACACAAATTGCGAGCCTGATTCCAGTCTATATCATGGTATGGAACGGTAAAAAGCTCTTTTCTCAAAGATAATACTGTTGGTGTGATTGGACCAACAAACCTCTTGCCATACAAGTAAGACATTGGCAAATAGACCATCCGGCAGTGACACCACATCCTTCCTGTAATGCGTAAAATGTAATTTATTTTCTGTTGTAAGTAAAAAATGAAAAGTATGGCAAACAATGTTTAAGGCGAATAAAGACAGTCAATTTAACAATAAATTAGTTTATATGAATTCAAGAATATTAACCAAAAGCATATGCTACATGAAGTCACAAACATATGATGCACTCTTTCAGAAAAATGTATATAATATTTATTATCTTATGAAGACAGTATTTCTTGTTTCCCTACAGCATAAAATCACACATCAAATGATAAAAGGTTCCCTAAATGATTGAATAATAAAAAATTATTTTGCCTCTTGGTTGGGTTTGCTACATCGAGCAAACAGTGGTGGTATAATTCCCTGCCAAGGCACAAAGTTTATTTAATAAATCCTTGCAGTTTGCAGACATTTAAGTAAGCCACCTTGTTAGGCCTAAAATCAACATAATCTTTCATCGCCAACGCACTTGAGTTTCTTTATTTAGTTGACAGGAACTTTATCACCGTCCTTATTCCATAAAAAATTCATTCTTTTAAACTTGCCTGATTTGGGAGGGAAAATGTCTCAAACAATGATGCATAAGCTGATCTTGTTGATCAGAACACTTACCCAATTGTAGAAATATTAACAAGAAAGTAGAAGCACTCAAATGAAAAGAATGGAAGTTTCTTTTGAACAGAGTAAATCATTAAAAATGATTACAATAAAAAAAGTTGTTGAAAAAAATAATTTATGACTTAAGAAACAACTCTAAATGATCCGAAAAATTTTATAAACCCTAGGAACTCTTATTTTACCCAACCTTGTGAGAACAACTTTTGTTGCTAAGTGGCAAGTATTTCGAACTCTAGAAATGTTTTTTTACAAAAAGATTCCCTCTATTTAATAATGATCTGTATCTAGACATATTCTCTCTAAGCAAATTGAAATGGAAGGAGCAATAACCTGGATGAACTGGAAGCGCGTAAGGGAGGAGCCATATTTCAGGAGGTAGGGGATTATTTCCAGACCACTCAAACACTCCAAGTACCTACCGACAATGAGATTAGAAATAAATAAACCATAACGCCGTGTCATTAATAAAATCATCAAAATAAGGGTAGGATCTTAACTGATAGCCACATTTTCCCCCAGGATGTTATATGAGTAGCACCACCATGCTCAAGAATCCAGTCACGTCCCTTTTCCATATCCCCTTCTCCATCATTAGGTCCCTCCCCTAGCAATCTTAGAGTAACATAACACAAGACAGAGCCAAACATTGTGCTTGGACCTTCAATATGCAAACCCCACCCACCATCCTTGTTCTGCAGTTACATCTAACTAATTATGAGAACTTGTGGAAAAAAAGCCCACTGATTAGTGTGAAAGATAAAGTGAAGTTCTTACCTGATGATTATAAAGGTAACGACGCATTTCCTTTCTATGCTCGTCTGATAAGACTGCATTCAAAGCCCCAGTGACAGACAGAGTAATAACCTGTTAAATCATATACCCAAGATATCACAGAGTTCTTGTCATTATCAATGAAAAGTGAAAACAAACAAAACAAAAAACAAAAAGAAAAACTAAGTACAAAACTAGCATTCTTGGTTTGGTTTTGGAAGTGTAGAATTGATTCTGGAGTGATTTTAAGGTATTTGGTTCTTCTAAAGTAGAATTTATTTTGTCTCCAGAATTGATTCTACTTGAAAGTAGAATTTGTAACTTCTTAATTTAAACTTGATTTTTACATTGAAATTTGTTATTCAACTCACTTTTACATAAATGTATTCAAACAAAAATCAATTCTACTAAACTCAATTATGTTAAAATCAATTCTACCAAATTCTGTCAAAATCAATTATATTCCCGGGCAATCCAAACACACACTGAAAACACCCTAGTTTTGAAGGCATATGGTTGTAAAAATATTACCAATCCAGGCATAAGAAACATGGGACCTCCATAATCTCCTGGCCAGTGTCCATCATGACTCTGGATAGTTGAATAGAAATTCAATGCCCTTCTTAACGTTGTTGTAACAGCCTCTTCCGTCACATCCTCGATATCTTTGACCTTGACTTTAGGCAAAACTTCGTTCATAGGGTTCTCTTTTGCAAACTACGTTGTTAAAATCACTGAACTTAGAAATTCCTACTAAAATAATGATGCAATTTAGCAAAAGATAAAAATGAACTATGAAACCTGAAGGCGCATAAGTAGATCATCACTGTGTTTGTGAGTGAAGCGATTATCGTGGAAATTGCGGCGAGCGGTTTCAACATCGTGGAGATCTTGCGGCGATCCGGAATGAGGATCGAACTCCCATACCTGTCTTCCGACGTGATTGTTCAGTGTCCGAAGCCATGGACTACCTCCTTCCGCAACCTTGAGCTTCCACATTTTCTAAGCAAAATGTAAGAAAAATGATAGTAGTAAAATGACTTAAATTACTTAAATTAAGTGAGTAGCCAAACAACGCTTTATGTGTGTAACGTGATTTGGAAGAGGAGAATCGAAAAGTAGAAAAATGGTTATGATAGTTTATGAGTTGAGAGGGTGTGTGGTGTGGATTGAGAAGTGCCAGATGGAATGGTGTGTTTGTTCATTTCAGAAATGGGAATGGACGGAGCTCGCCAAGTGCCTAGCTGGCTCTAAAACATTTACATTTATTACGGATGCAAATACTTGTGACACATGTCTAGGGGATATACATATACTAGTACTATTCAATTTTATGACTTAACCACTAAAGTACACTCCTTTTATGTTATCTAACAATTTACATTAACTTTTAGAAAATTTCTTAACCTATCATACTTACTTTCTTACGCATTATGTAAATGTCATTTAAAATTTGAAGTATATTATATAAAAATTAGAAATTTAATTTTAATTTAAAATTAAAGGTATATTTTCAATTTTATTCTTTACAAAAACTAGAAAGTATTCTTAAATTACATTGTAATCTCATAATATAATTCATAAAATAAACATAGCAAATATATTTAGGAGTTAAACATAAATCAAACATTATAAATCAACGTTCAAGTGGACGTTGCAACATCATGATAATATCATCGATCGATCTTGTTATAGTCGCATCTAGCTCGATCAGAATTTTCTCCTCAAAAGTGTCAAAACATTCCACATAGCTTGTAAATCAGTGTCGTTCTTCCGATCACGGTTGATGAACTCAAGCTTCCCATCTTTGTCAACCGATTGCGAGCGGTACTCGATCTTCATTATCCTGCGATTGTGTCATAAGGTACAAGTTCCTGTAATATTTCACGCACATCTTCAATAGGGGTGTACACGATGAACTTAAATTCGTAGGATAGTGTAGCATCGGTAAAGTGGACAACTCCAACATGTCATTTGATGTTCAATTTCATATCCATTTCTGGTTTTTGGTGTTGTGGTATGAAAAAATATAAGAAGTGAGGTTTTTTATAGTAGTTGGAGGTAACCATGAACCATACAAATCCTATCTCTATGTCAGTGATAGAACCGGTAATTAATTTCTGGTTTTTTATTAAATGGAATCGAAAGTATATTTCCGGTTAAGACCATGGGAGTGAAAAACCGGAAATAGAACAAAAACAACAACTATAATAAAAAAAGCCTCATGTATTTAAATATTGTATTTTTGGTTAAACTACAAAAAATGAATAAATTTCCACATCATAATACATGAACAAAATGAAGTTAATAATAAAATAATACTTAGCTACTTGAATGAGCCGAAAAAAGTGTCGTCGGTTAAATCCCTTAGTGGTACCCCTTTTGACTTTTCCCTATTTTTTTTCTATTTCAATTTAGTTTAACTTGTTGTATTCTTGCATCCTTTCAATGAATTGGTCAGGCCAGGTATCGGATGGGTTAGTGAAATGAAGCACTCACTCCGGTGATGTAGGTGGTATAGGGCATCCTGGTTTCAAATACACTTGAACAAAATGTCGTAGATTTGAAACCCACTCAACACATATGATACAAATGTTGGGATTTGGTGTTGGAGCAGTGCACAGAGGGAAATAAGTCTCTGAGAAATTGTATCTTGTAAGATTAATATATACTCTCTCATACGCACTTGCTATGAGATGACCCATTTCAGAAAAGTACATCCATTTATCCTCTGGTGTAAATCCAACCTTGGGAGGTATAAGTGTGTGATATATTTCCTCAACCTTCTCTTTACTCCCTAGCACACGTGTGTATAATTCTCTATTTCCCGTCAACTCTCTGATCAAGGTATCTCGGACAATATGGTAATACTCTTCCCCTCTACCGAGCAAACTAGAAACAACTTGAAAACCACAGTTACTGTCACCCCTGACATTGATGATCTGTTCAATGTACTTGTGCATAAAAATCGGCATGTGATCGATGAATGGTATTTTAGATGGAGTCGGTGTAGGAGGTGGTTTGCTAATACGGACTTCTTTGAAAGCACTTTTTTGAGATTTCGGTGTAGGTGAATCGGGATAAACTCTGTCAACGTGTTCAAAATATGAAAGACTCCTCGTAGTTGAACTATCGCTCGGTGTTGATTTCCCCTTCTTAGGTGCCTCTTTAGTTTTTACCGATTGGGATGGTGGTTTCAAGTCTGTGGTCTCCATGAGTGCAATCTTCCTCAATTGTTCTTTGATGTGGAGTTTGGTGGCGTCATCGACTTTTAAAAATCTTTCTTGTATCGCTTCCCATACGGTCAAGATGGAGATATTTGATTTATCGGTTTTCATTTTACCGTCATCGTCAAAACTTAGTCTCTTCCAATTACCGGAGACCCGAACCATACATATCGGGCTATCAATTTTCATCTTCTTATATATGACACATGCACAAAGGAGACCATATCGCGTTTCAAATTTTGGATACGACGTATGCATTTTCCACTTCTTTCCTAAGTCAAAATCAGAAATGCATTTCTTCTATCCGTACCATTATCAGACCTTCCAATCATAACACCAAATCCTAGTTTCGTAGCCTCTATACGAATTCACTGCAACATGTCTTCACTTAATTCAAATTCTTCTACATTTTCAAATTTCTTACGAACATCTACCACCTTAATTACGAGAGGAGAAACTACGAGAGGAGAAACTACGAGAGGCGAAACAACTTAAGACACATCAGGTTTGGGACTGTTATTGGGGTGCACCATACCTAACGTTAGATAAAACACAAAACTTATTAACGTGTCACATTGACACATTGTTGTCAAAATATACACATACATAAATTGAAAATTAACTGCTGGTTCTATTCAACTAACAAACGGAGGTATACATCCGGTTTGTACGTAATATTTTTCTACAATAAAGAACATATTAATGTAGGGAATGAGGATTGAAATAAATAAACTTTACCTGCAATTATACTTCCTTGAGCTCTTTTTGATTTGATGAACCACAAATATGATGATTTGGAAGGAAAATTGATTGAGAATGATGAGGGTTTTTTAGAGGTGTTAAGGAAAGAAAGAAGAAATGTTGGTGATCAAATATGACCATACTGGTTACTGTTTTAAGTAACCTGCACCGTCCATAAAATTGGAATTATACTTTCGGTTATATATGAAATGTCAAGATGACAATAAAATTCAATCTTCCTGTTAATAGAATCGGAAACAGAATTCATGTTTAGAACCGAAAGTATACCTTCGGTACCGTTTTTTGCATTTTGAAGAGTGAAACCACATTTAGTCTATTTTGTGCAAAATATGGTGTAAACTGGAAATGTATTTCTGGTTTTCCGATGGGCAATTTCATAATTGCATAGAGTGTCCCTTTTCTATATGGGGTAGGGTAAGAAATTTCCTAACTTTTATTGTTGCTTTGAAAAGAAATGTGATGGTTAGTTATTTATCATGCAAATGTTTTAACTAAATATCTATAAAAAAATCAATTCCATTTTTTTCAAATTAATATTTTTAAGACTTACTCCCTCCATAAAGATTTATAAGCAAATTTTGTTTTTTAGATTCTTTTTTATTCTGTATTTTGTGTTCGGAGTGTATATTGGTCCCTCAAATATTTAAACATAGTTAAATTTGTCCTTGACGTCTAAGGCGTTAGTCAAAGTCAATGGAAGAGACCATATGTCGCTTAGATGGATTAGTATTTACTGAGGTGAAAATATTGGTGAGATGGAATACTTAAAGAGATTTAACAAGTGATTACTTTCATTTCTAGGGTTTTCTCTCAGAGTGAAACGAAGGAAAAACGTGAGAGAGTGGTTACGAATGCGAACGGAGGTTGTGAATGAAGGAAAGAACTAGAATCTAGAGGAAACGAAACGAGACAAGTATTTTCTAAAACGAAAAGAGGAAGACAAGTCTATTGGTATGTCTAATATTTTGCCTCTTTCTAATTTAAGGTTTATTGGGCTTTCATTTTACTCTGTTTAATGTGTGGTGTTTAATATATAATATTTGTTTTAGGGTACAATCTTCGTATTAGGGTTTTCTCATGGTTTTAGGAATTTATGTTGGTTCTAATTATAAATGTTAATTTGTGTTGTATGAAAGTGATTCTATGAATTTGTGTTATTTTTAAAAATTTGTGTTGGTTTTGATTTTAAATGTGAAATTGTGTTGGTTTTGTTTCTAAATGTTAATATTTGTTGGTTCTTAGTCAGTAGTTTTTCTTTTAGGTAAATAATGGATGACTTTGTTCATATTTTTATCCACCACGGAGTTTCATTTGTAGATGATGAGTTTTCTAGTTATGAAGGATTAGTTCCTTAACTGAGATGTGATGCAGATAAGTGAAGTTATTTTGAAGTTAGGCATATCAAAATTATGGAGATAAATTCTCTGTCAAATTGCAAGACCATATCTGCTCATGTAGGAAATGGCAGCTTACAGCATTGACATGCTCTCATGTCATATATTCAACAAAGAGTGGGAACTTTAGGATAAAGGAGTGCATTCATGATATTTATAACAACAAAAAATATCAGAAGGTATACAAGCATGTTATTTATCCTGTTAATGTAACACCCCAATTCTACCCCTCGTAATTAATAATAAAATCAGAGTTTCAAAATTTCATCCAAACATAAATTGATGTATCACATATTCGTGTTTCCATCACTTTGCATTATAATGCACATCACAAAAACCAAAAGTCGGATATACCGATTCATAACATAAATCATCATATAAACATATGACTAATCACATCACACCGGATGTGTTCACAAAATGTATGTATCATCATGTTATCATCAATACATAAAGTCATAAGATAGTATACATAAACTATCCTATCAAAATAATAACGTCGCCCAAATCCCGAGTGTTACTACTATCAGAGTAGAGCGACTCAAAATAAAGAGACTCAAGCTAATCCTCATCATCCTCGCGGATCACCTGCACGTTACCAATATAAAGGCAACGG